CTGTAGTGGACCTGATGTTTTCTGGGCAAGAAAACCGGACTGAGGTGCCTCTTCTGGGTCTTTTCTGGGTTATTTTCCTTCCATTTCTAGTTTACAAGCACCATGTTTTCCTCTTGGTTCCCCCATCCGTGTATTCACCAGGTTCAACTCTGCTTAACCCACCAGTTTTTTAAAAATTGAACATTTTGAACGTTTTGGTTATTCAGTTGTATTTATTTGTAACATTTATTGGCCACCTACCTTACCATGACATAACTGTGGGTGGCTTTGAGAAATAAAAAATACATACACATTAAAACACCTTAAAGTAACAAATGTAACTTGGTTCTATTGTGTGACTTCATGCTTCATGATTGGGCCGCTTAGTGACACAGATGCCAGTCCCAATTGCAGTCAGTAAATGAGGACTTCTTCAATTGGGATGTCACCAAAAGGATTGTGGAAAGTGTTTTCTGCCCTTACTTGGAGCTCATGGCTTCCATGGGCAAAACTGGTGCTTCAAAACTTGTTTTAGGTATCATTTCATCAGTTAAAGCCCCCACATCTAAAGTTAGTGTCATGCAGACTGACAGGTGTGGCTCAGTGAAATAAAAGACTGAGTCCAAGTGTGTTGATAAGCCAATGCATTTATCCATCTGAATAAAGAGGGGTCCCTCCTAAGAAGGAAAGAATCCTGAGTGTAGTGAAAGGCAGATATTTATACATTTATTTGCTTTTTTTCATTACATAAGAGGGAGCTGGCACACAACAGATAAGGTACAGAAATATGGAAATTATAAAAATAGGTAAAAACGCCTTCGGTGGTTTTGGTCACATGCCTAACCCGGAGGCTAGTGGTTTCCTGTGAAAGTTTTCATGGCCTCAGAAGTTTGTTGAGGCCTAAACATTAGCCTTGCCATCTCAGCAGATGAGCAATCATCAAATTCCTGATTAACATTAGTGCAGAAGGTTTAACTGTAATCATATTCTTCAGGAAAGACATGGATTATCTCCATATTGTAGGTGTTTGTATTTCTCTCTCTCTCTGAATGTATATATCTGCAAACATAATCTCTCCCCAGGACTTCCAGGTATACAGGCATGTGAAAAAGAAAGTACAATCTCTTTGACTTCTATGATTTTATATAGCAGGACATAGTAAAAATCATTTGGTCCTTAGAAGTTCTTAAGAATGCTTTATTGGCCAAGTGTAATTGGACACACAAGGAATTTGTCTTGGTGCAAATGCTCTCAGTGTACATAAAAGAAAAGATACGCTCATCAAGAGTCAAAAATCATATGGTACAACACTTAATAATAGTCATACTATTCATACAAATCATACTAGGAAACAGTCAATAAAAATCATTAGGATACAAGCAACAAAGTTACAGTCATAGAGTCACAAGTTGGAGGGGATGGGTGATAAGGAGTGGTGAGAAGATTAATAGTAATAGTAGTTATGTCTGTGGAACTGGTTGGAGTTCCCAACCAGGTCCGCTGTTTGAGCGGGAGCACCAGCCGCTCCCATTGGCTGGCTCCGTTTGACAGTCGGCTATAAAAGCTGGCTGTCGAGCAGAGCCAGCCCCGTTGTCGCCAGCCAGTCTGCTAGTTAGCAAGCAGACGCGACAATCCTTTATTCTCTGCAATAAAGCCTTGTTCATTGTACGCTCTGGCTTTCTGCCTCTTCCTTACCATCGCTCCACAACAGTAGTGCAGACTTTGTAAATAGTTGGACAGTGTTGAGGGAAAATAGGGAAATACAACTACAGATGAACAACACATGACATATTACATCAAGTCATCATTTATTTTTATAAAAAGAAAGCCAAAATGAAAAAGTCAAATTCTTTTTTGTGTGACTTTATCAGTCTCTTGCAGTGTTGTGGAGGAATTTTGGCTCAGTCTTTTTTACAATATTGCTTGAGTTCATTGAGGTTTGTGGGTGTTTTTATGCACAACTCTCTTGACTCCCACCACTCGGGTTGAAGTCTGGACTTTGCCATTGGAACATCTTGTTTCTTTTCTTTTTCAGCCATCCTGTTGTAGATTTCCTGATGTGTTTTGCGACCATTGTCCTGTTGTATAATCCCATGTCAGCCTAGCTTTAGCTATTGGACAGATGGCCTCACGTTTGACTCTAGAATACTTTAGTATGCAGAGGGGTTCATCGTCGACTCAAAGACTGCAAGGTGTCCAGGTCCTGGGTTTTCTTGGATATCCACTTCTGGGAAGATTAGCAACTGCCAGCAGTGGTTCCCACTTGTGAATTACATTCCTCACTATAGAATGAAGGATTTCAAATTTTTTGGAAATGATCTTTTAAACCGTTCCAAATTGATGGGCAGCAGCAATTGCTTCTCTAAGTTCATTGCTGATTCTTTACTCTTTGGCATTATGTTAACACTCAGCTCAATGCCGGAGACCAGGAAACTCCGGCTTTGAGTTTCGGCTTTTGTAGATGTACTCACACTTTCTGATGATCAATTGATCAAGGGCATTTTGCTAATGGTAAGAACAAGTAACCAGCAGAACAGCTTGCCTTCAGAAGTTGTGGTGCTCCATCACTGGAGGCTTTTCAGAAGAGACGAGACAGTCACTTCTATGACATGGTATAGGGCAGGGGTCCCCAACCACCGGGCCGTGGACCGGTACCGGTCCGTGGAACATTTCCTACCGGACTGCCGGTTTGCTGGGCGTCGCCATCTTGTTTGACGAGAAAGTACTTCCGGGTGAGCTTTTCCGGTTGGATCCTGAAGGAATCCTCATGCCTTAGTTTCATCGAAGGGAGGGGCTTCGAATGAAACTAAGGTGCAAGGATTCCTTCAGGACCCAAGGCAAGGCGAGCCGAGCGTCTGTCCCAAAGCTGTCCCGAAGCGAAGCCCATCGACAAAGGTACAAAGGAGGAGTTGAAGGTGGCGGGGAGAAGCGGGGGATGGCTGGCCGGCCGGTCGCTCAGCTCGCCTTGTAATGCGTGCTGATGCCGGTACCGGGCTGCGGATCATTTTGTGATGCCGGTACCGGGCCGTGGCACAAAAAAGGTTGGGGGCCACTGGTATAGGGTGTTCTGCTTGATCAGTGACTGGATTAGAAGATCTGCAAAGTCCCTTCCAATTTTGTTATACTCTGTTGCAATATTTATAATACCCTGATAAGTAAAACCAAAGATCAAAGAGGGTGTTCTTTCTTTTTCACTTGCCTGTATTTGACAACAACCCTTTGCTCTGCTAAGAATTTGTGATTAACCCAGTCAACAAGGGAATTTCATCATTGATGAATATTTGAATTTGGATCTGGGTAGTTTTCCATGTGTCAAATGAATCATGATTAATGTGAGAGCTTATTGGAGCGTTGTGGCATGTTAGCTTTGTCATTGTAATGTAAACATTTTCTTTTTTTCTCATCTTCTGCAACCATTTTATGTACACTTAAAGATGCCCTTTTATTTGAATCTTATAGGCAAAGAGAATGGCAATAAGAATGTTCTGCACAACTGAGGATAACCGGCAACATTGAATAGGAAAGCAAGTCAGTCCAAAAATCAAAATATTTTCCATTTCTTTCAGGGAGCCACACAATTCTTCACCTTCCTCAACAGATGAGAGAGAAGCAACAGAAAATCAAGAAGAGATTTCTAGGTCGGAAAAGTAGAGTTTAAAGTCCAAGCACACATTGCATGAAAAGTCAAAGATTATTTTTCCATTCAGCAAAAAAGGGGAATATCTGGAAGTTACAGGTGAGGAAAAGGTCACTTGGAAAGCCACGTAGTGCAGACAGTGTTGTAGGCCTTGCTCTGGGAGGAAGAAAATCGCCACTACTACTAAAGAAGGGATGACCCATATTTTGGACATCCTCTGGAATATTAGTTGTGGAAGAGCTTCATAGATGTGCCTGTTGTGGGAAAGATACAACTTGCAAATCACAGCTGATTATGCCTGAGAGGATCCTGACTGGAGAAAAGCCATACAATGCTCTAAATGTGGCAAAATCTCTGATCAGAACAACTTTGTTGTGATCAGTGGAAGGACTCACACAGGAGAGAAGCCCTCCAAATGCTTCCAGTGCGGTAAATGCTTTCATGAGATATGGCAACATGGGCTCACACAGGAGAGAAACCATTTGAATGTCCTGACTGTGGGAAAAGTTTCAGTAAGAATTCCAGACTCATGAGACACCAGAGGACTCACATAGGAGAAAAACCCTTTGGGTGTCTTGATTGTGGAAAAAGTTTTAGTCAGCATTCTACCCTGGTGACACATCAGAGGACTCACACAGGAGAGAAACCGTTTGAGTGTCCTGATTGTGGGAAAAGTTTCAGTCACAATTCCAGCCTGGTGAAACACCAGAGAACTCACACAGGAGAGAAACCCTTTAAATGTCCTGATTGTGGGAAAAGTTTCAGTCAGAATTCCAGCTTGGTGATACACCAGAGATCTCACACAGGAGAGAAACCCTTTGAATGTCCTGATTGTGGGAAAAGTTTTAGTAACAATTCCAACCTTATTAACCACCAGAAGACTCACACAGGAGTGAAACCCTTTGAATGTCTTGACTGTGGAAAAAGTTTCAGAACCAATTCCAGCCTTGTGATACATCAGAGGACTCATACAGGAGAGAAACCCTTTGAATGTCCTAATTGTGG